TAGCTTTTATACTAGGTGTTTTATTGACTTATTTTCCATCTAATATAGTATTTCTAGCCAAGTAAATTGTACTCTCTATGGGTGCCCAGCGGGTCCCTTCATCCAATTACAGAATATTTGATGCTATATTAAGCTTTTCGTTGCCTGATCACTTCTCTGTAGTTTTTCTACTCGAAATGGCTGTGTATATCCTTTCCCTTTAAATAATATATAAGGTTCTAATACCTCTTCAGAAGGCGAACAATTAAATGGTATATGTTCAATGAAGCAGGTCAAATAAAAGGAGAAAAAACCTTCTGTTTGATTTCCTCGCCAGTATGGCTTTGGAAAAAGAGAAATTTGTCGTTGACTTTGTCTGAATTAAAATAAAATCACTAAAATTGCTGCATTTTTAAATATTCTTTCTGAATTATTGAACTGTTAATTTTAAATTACATCAAATAATCCATTTTCCCTTGATTAAATCTCATAGTTGAACAATTTGTTCTTATTAAAGATTTCACCCAAAAGTAGTCCACGAGTAAAGTCACAACTGGTATAAAAACTTTAATAACCAAATGTTTTCAACAAAATTTGACATACTTATACTGCAATCAATTTTGATTTTTGCCTTAAAATTTCATTAGATGATATAAAATACTTATAAAATACTTTTCAAAATATTAAGGTATAGACATTTTTAGGTTCTGCCTATCACCAGACGGCAAGAATGTTACCGACTTCGTTACTATTCGGCACTTATTTTCAGTTCATCCGCATACCTTTTTAATCTCTCACGTGCTTCTTTTTAATAATTTTAATCCCCAATTTGTTATAAAGCGTCTTGTTTTGAGTTCTAATATTGAAATCATTTGGATTTTTTTTCCAAATGTTATTTTTAAATTTATTCCTTTTTGCTTCAATCATATGTATCGTCATATTCAAAATGAGTGTCGGTACATTCTTGCCGTGTTGCATATAAGAGACCCACCATTGTGTTTATTTTGATATTTATAAAGTATTGTATATATCTAAAGAAATTTTAGGACAAAAGTCAAAATAGATAAAGGTTGTAGAATACAAAGTTTTGATGAAAACTGATATATATATATATATATATATATATATATATATATATATATATATATATATATATATATATATATATATATATATATATATATATATATATATATATATATATATATAACAATATTAAACAAATATAAAAAGAAAATACAAGAATTCTCCGTAAAGCTTTAGCGCTTTCATTAAAAATCTTCAGAAGCTTTACATTACAAAAGTGTATTACAAAATGTATACATTTTTGTAGTGTAAAGCTTCTGAGAATTTTTAATGAAAGCGCTAAAGCTTTACGGAGAATTCTTGTGTTTTCTTTTTATATTTGTTATATATATATATATATATATAGAGAGAGAGAGAGAGAGAGAGAGAGAGAGAGAGAGAGATATTAGGGATGTCAACGAGTACCCGGTTAAGCGGGTACTCGATCGAACGTCCGAGTATCGAATACTAAAATCGGTGCTCGGTTACTAGGATGTATATTTTTTTTCATATTTCCGAGTGCATATATTTATTAAAAACAAAAAATGTTATTTGCATATGCACTGTCCACGTCTATACACTAATAAGCGTCACCTTCACGAGTTAATACCCGTTATCGCCTGTGGCTGTGTACATGTATACACAGTAATTACCGTGACCAATCACTTGACACCGTACAGCTGTTTTCACCTCTGGTGACCCTAATTTTTGGATGGCTTTAATTATTTGTTTTTAATGTTTCAAACGTTTAATTTGATCCATTAATTATCCTTAGATTATTTAATTAGCATACAGTAGCGAAATGGACATACATAGAAATACCGCTACCAATTCAAAAGTAAAGAAATGTTTAAAAATAACCGAAGATTTAAAAAATGTTGAAAAGTCAGCTGTGCATAGTAAATTTAGCGTATACAGGGGGAAACAACCACATATTTAAGGAATCACTGTCTAGTTTGTTGGTTAGTTTGTTGGTCAGAGCATCAACGGCAGTTGGAAACGTGGGATAATTTATGCACGACAGGTGAAGCTGAAAGTAGTAGTATCAAGAAACCATCATACTTAACTTTCAGAGTTATCACAAAGAAAACATTCGGATATGTATATATATATATATATATATATATATATATATATATATATATATATATATATATATATATATATATATATATATATATATATATATATAAAGGAGGGGTCATCAAAAAGTTCTCGAACTAATTGAATTCCTTCCTTAAAAGAAATAAAATGAAGTTTCAGTGTTCATTAATTTTATTAATTTTTTGAGGTAGTCCTCTCCAATTTTAATGAACTGCCCAGGCGATCACATGACATGCTCCGTAGCGGTCTGTTCAAAGAAGCTAAAAGATTCCGAGTATTATATTTCTTACCATGCGAGGTATTTCTTATAACAAGAACGGCCCATCTGTCAGAAATGGCCAGACTTCGGCAATAGGACGGGTGGATAAGGATATCCTTTTCCAGAATAAGCATAGTGACCATCACAACCCTAGTCCTCTGTCTCGGGAGTGTCGTTTATCCAATGTGGATAAAGTATGGACGCCTTCCTTTCATCATATTTCATATGTTTAAAGTAAACGATATTTTAGGGATTTAATAATTATATTATTGTTAAGAAATTCAACTATTTTTCTAATTGTAACTTGACGATCTTTCATGACAAATTGCACAACTAAGGACACATCTTTCCCCGGCTTGCTTTATATTCCCTGCCTTCACTAAAACAACCAATCCAATTAATGACAAAAAGTTTTTTGTCTTCACAAACCTTGTACAAATTATCATATTCTACTGCAAAGGAATTTCAAAGGTATATGTTAAGCTTTTTAGCCGTTCGTTGCTCGAGTACGACTGAGTCAACCATTCTTTGTCACCTACATATTGACGTTATTTTTACATTGTGACGTCACAAACACGGAGCAAAACATTATATAACACCCGCTGTTTATAGAACATGAGTATGACTATATGTGTGCAAAGTTTCATTCTGATCTGAATTGTGGTTTTGTAAATATAGAGATAGTTCTCGAACTTTTTGATCACCCCTCGTATACATATATCTTCTGATTAATAACTTGAATGGACCTCATTTCGGTATCTACCAACTACCAAATATGATACCTGAAACATGCATTATAAAAAAAGAATTTTGACATTCACTCGAGATAGGCTACAAAATTGAAAAGTAAACCAAGGATATAATTAAATGATCCTTGTAACAAAAATGGATGTCCTTTCCCTATCCCAACCCACTGATTGTGACTCGTGAAATATAACTACCCTGCGCCAATATGATTAAATACCTTTTTATGATAAAGAATGACACATGATTTTTTTCTTTATTTTCTTACAAATAGGCGAAATATAATTCAAAATATTTAGATCCGTACATAGTACACAATAGAAATGCATCTCTAACTTAATGTAGGATACGTAATTAACATCATTTCTTCCAAAGGAAAAAAAACAATTGATAGAATGTCTAGAAAGTGTCGCAAGCCTATGAACGAGCAAATCAATCGTAAATATTATTACACTATTAGGATTTGTTTTCTATAACCTTCGAACTGCAACATGTTTCGCGATATGTTTAGCAGAATAAGAACAAACATTTGATAGTGTCAGTTTACTTATCAAACATACAAATGATCAATAAAGAAGCAATTTGTTATATATATATATATATATATATATATATATATATATATATATATATATATATATATATATATATATATATATATATATATATATATATATATATATATATATATATATATATATATATATATTAACTATTGTTATGAGTGAATTGACTGTTTTGGTATGGTCCTCTTTTCTTTTTATCCTAGATAAACATAATTAAATGAAATACACAGCTTTTCAAAATTATTCCATTTCATTTAAACCAAAACTAACAGAAACATGCCTCGTTATACGTAAAATAAATAAATAAATGAACTATTTTTAGCTTTTTAGCGTAAAAATTAAAGTGTTCTTATTTGATATAATGTATATTAAGTCATTGCTACTATCTATAGCAAAAGAGCCCAAAACTGTATATCAAAATTTATTAACAATTAAGTCTGAAAAAAAAACATTCTGTTTAGATTGATGTTTAGATTCATTCCAACTGCTTGTTGTATCTCTTATTGAGAACAAAAAGTCATAAGACTTTTTTTTTTGTTAAAAAAATATTCTTCTATTTCCTTTCTTGTAGACAGAAAAGCTATTTTAAAAAAGTATTGATATTTATGCATAATTTAACGTAACCTCCTGGTAAACATGAACAGTAAAATTGTCTCCAAAAGCAAATACAGCAATGGAGCATAATTTTCCTACTGTTTCTGCTGAGAAAAAGGTCTTGTGTACCGATACTTAACAAAAATAACCAGAGATCTTCCCCTTGTGGAAATTTAAACTTTTGACAAAGCCACCACAGAGAAATTAGCCCATCATTTGTTAATTAATTATGAAGACTAACCTGAATAGAAATTTATTACTTATCAAGACATTGATCTGTACGCCTACCACTTGAACAGTATCATTGGTAAGTTTGGTTGTAACTGACATGAAATGTTCATGACATTCAATTCTACATTAATGGACTACGTTAGAGGTATTGAGACACGTCAAAACAAGGCCAAAATTCCGTCACTAAAATCACCTTATATCAATTATTCATGGAAGCATTTTCTGAGGGCTTAATGTGTCGTAATATACACGATAAGAGCAGCGTCGATTACAGAAAAACAAAACAAAAAGAATTGATCGGCTGCCTACATATTGATGAACATATGTGAAAAGAATTGCCTACAAGATGAAGGACACGCCTTAAATAGATGATCTGTTCTTTGATTGACTGATGGATTCCGCGGGATGTGATACTAGAGTATCGCCTAAGCTTTAAAATGTGGGCAAATGACATGAAGTAATACTATAGGACGAGCAGTTCCTGAAGAAAAGTTATCAATTTAAATTTGACTGGGGCTGCAAGTATGGAATCTGCATCAATATTTTTAATAGTTACAGCACTTGTTATAGGAATAGTATCAACTGACGATGAACTTATAGATAAAAGAAGGCCCGGATGGGGTAAAAGAAGTAATATTGACTTAGAGACTGATTTTTCAGATTCAATAATGGAAAAACGAAAACCTGGTTGGGGCAAACGTGATATGAACGAACTTGAAATGAATAAACGTAAACCTGGTTGGGGAAAAAGAGCTGGTTTAAATTCTGAATATATTGACAAACGAAGTCCTGGATGGGGTAAAAGAAGTTTCAATGAGGATATTAAAAGTTTTATTGATAAAAGAAGGCCTGGCTGGGGCAAACGGACGGCAGATTTGCTTGACTCTCTCAATGCTGAGATTTATAAAAGAAAACCTGGATGGGGAAAACGGTCAGAAATGGAAAAGAGAAAACCTGGGTGGGGGAAGAGAGCATTTCCAGAACCAAGTGATAAAGACTCATCATATTTCAGTTTACCTTCTGATATTTCAAACGTTTTTAACAAACGTGCTCCAGGATGGGGTAAGAGAACGCCTGAAAGTGACATACATGTAGAGCGTCGAAGGCCAGGCTGGGGCAAGAGGGCACCTGGATGGGGAAAGCGTTCAATTGTACCTACATGTCAAGACATAGATCTAGAAATGCAGCAGCTGCTAAATACCATATTAAAGGTATGAATCTTTTAAGTACTTTCTTCTGTTATATCGATAATTAGTCATAACTTGATCGTGTTAATTATATTATGATGGTTACACAGAGATTTTGATTATCTAGTTCACTTTTTACATACAGTGTATGATAATTTTTCAGCGTTTCGCTTTTAGAGTGCGATTATTTTCTTTTATTTCTTACAATTTAAGGGGAAGGCATTTACATGAAGTTGAATTCGCTAATAGTTTTGAAAATTTTAATAAAGTATCTGTTTGGGTTCACAGTTTTGATTTTATCAGTAATTTTTATTGATTTTCTTGCAGTTTATTAATTCATATGTGAGTTAATCAAATTTATTCTCTAAAACTATGTAATATATCCAACTTAAACTTTATAACTTTTCATGTAGGGAGAGGGTGAAATAAATTTAAAGGTCAAGATCTAGTAAATGAAAGGTGCCTACAGATTTCTCAAATTTGAAAAATAAATTCCTTTAATGATGCTTTATAACTTTAGCTTGGTCAAATAAGGTATTTCGGGGCATAATTTGTAGGTAAACAAGACAAAAAATCATATTTTAAACTGTCATTTTCTATGAAAAATTAAGAAAACCAGTCATGAATACGAGAGTTTTTTCCATATCAGACAAAGGAAATGTATCCAGATTGCCTAGAGTTTCTCAGAAAATGGTAAATTCTATGTTCATGGCCTCTCCTTTAAAATAATATAAAACTGAATATAGGTATCGGGATTTCAAATTGAATTCCATGAAAATACTTTATTTTAGACATAATTCTATTAGAGCCGTAAAGTTCGGGAAAAAGAAAGTTGAAATTGATCATGACGTCATAATGGATCTAGCACCAAAAAGTTAGTCTAAAGCCATTTACTAGATCTTGACCTTAAGAATTCATTTCATGCAATCCCTTATTGGTCATGTAAACTAAATATGATCGAATTAAGCACCGTTAGATTGCAGTCCATTTTCTCCTAAACCTAATGTGTGTATGATACATGACAGCAAATGAGATTTGATTTCGCCTAGGATGACAATATGTTTCAAAGTACTACTATAATTATATTTAGACATGTAGATCTTGACTATGCTTGGGATGTTGTGTTTACCTGAAAAGTTGCAACGTTTACTGGTGTGTATTATCTATTTCTGACTTAATCGTTATATATCCCACGTATAGCAGCTAAAAATTGAAGGTTCTGTATATACATGATAAATAGATTTTAAAAATGTTTAAGACTAAATACACGATCTCTTTACATATTTACAATAGTATATAAATTTTAAAAAGTTTCCAAGACCTATCTTTTTTTCAGTACATATATGAAGTATTACCTTAAGAGGAAGGGAAAAAATCTGCATTTGACATATTTATATTTTAGAATGGATTAATTCAGTATAAAGATAAAATTTTAATTTTGTTTTCTTTAAATGCTTGCTTTACATTTTCTATTCCAGATAATTATCAAGTTTTAATGTTTGAAATTTCTTGTTTAAAACGATAAACCTGACAGGCGGTTTTCTTATTTTTCTTTAGATTTATGCATCCATCTGTAAATTCAAATAGCCAAACATAACAGGTTTTAGATTCGTTAGATTCTGCAATTTATAGGATTAGTTTACGCATTGAAATTAAAAAAATGTTATAACATAACTATGAATGCCAACACTTATGTAAAACCTGCCTCGTACAAATTTCATTTAAACTTAATTAACCAGTTTTACAGTAGGGGATATACATGTTGCAGTTTTTAATCCAAGTATTTTAAATCAGTTAAGCCAATACTCCCATGAGATTTTCTTCTTCTATAGAAATCAATTTTTATTGGTACTAAATGATAACAATAAAATATTATCGATTTTTTTTGTGCTATTGCATTTCAGTTAATATGAGATTCATTGACCCTTCCAAAAATGGGTTTTCAAAAAGCTTCATTCAGTATTTCTAAATTTGTATTGATATGAAATATGAAGATAACGAACAGAAATCAAGCTCATTCATTGTCCATTGAAACAATACCAATTGGGAGCAGAGCAAACGCGGATCTCTAAAAACAGCAGAGGTGTGATCGGGTGCCATGAAGGAATAAGCATTCCTGTCTACCGGTCATGCATCTAGCATATTGTGTTAAAATATATTAGAAGAACGTAAAATGTTAAAATTGAAAGTTAACTAAGTGTTGCTGATTCTAAATATATACAAGTTGTATTGGTTCGACATGTCTTCAATATTTGAGGAAAGGGTTTATTTTGTCAAAAAAATCGACACTGAGTATTCATTCAATTTTTTAATAACTTTTTAATTTTTTTTTATCATACGCATGTATTTTACAAATCGAATTAAGAATCGCTGGATTTTGTTGAAAAGGTTTATTTTTAGAAGGAAATACAATAACTGAATCAAAAGCAAATTGAAGTATAGGAGATCTACTATGTTCTAGTAAGCATCATGATAAGTATCAAAACTGCCCAGTGTTCTTATCTTTTGAGATATAACCTTGAACCAAGGTCATGACATAATTTGATTAGCAACAACATAACGTTGAATTCACAAGAATCAGTTTTCAAAGTTATGACCCTGGTAGGCAAACAGAAAACTTTGTCTTTTCCCTTTGCAAAACATACTTTAATAAAAAAAAATAATAATAAGGTGTGAACCTTACCCTTACATCTCGGATCTTAATTCTTGATAGACTTTTAAAAATATATATTCATTAAATCAATTTCTTGAAATCAAAGATTTTTAAAAAGGAAATTTCATTTTATGAGCGTTTAAATTTAAAATTCGATATCTTCTAAACATTTCAAGCAATTCGTTCGCGGGATTGAAAGGTGATTTCTCTCTTTCTTTATAAGAAAATAGTGGCCTTTTTCTAATCATGAGCATAAGCATATGTTGCGTGACTTAAGGGATTGCATTAATATCTCAACCAATAATTAAGGGGTCGCTTTATTGTTGTAGAGAAAGTAAGATATATATGTGACATAAATCTGCCGAATTTATACAATTTTGTATTGATTAATAGTATACGTGTATTATTTCTCTTCTAGTATATCAATGAATACCAAACTTACAATCATCAGAATCAGGCATTTTTCCGAATCAACTTCTTAAAAGAAATGGAAATAAAAATCATTTTGAAAATAAAACATAAAGTAGCGCAAACGGGAAAATAACTCAAGTTAAAGTAAAATTTATGTGTGTGAAAGGAAATGCTAATCATTTTTCTGTAACAAAAAAAGCTCGTGAAAACTGCTGCTGCTCTTTCTAATTGATTACATTGAGTGTTAACAAAATTGAACCGTGGGTTTACGACAACGACCTATTGGGAGAACTGTGTTTTGCCTTTTAGTTTTTCTTCTATCACGTGGTCTCCGGGGACTTCGTATCAGCGACTCTTAACCACTACTATCAAATTACAAGCGTCAGAGTGAGCATGATGTTGGGTTTTGGTGTAATAAATGAGATATAGGCTCATTTTATTGATACTAACGAGCATCTCTTCAAATGTCACCGTCTTTGGAATGAATTGCAGCATCTTTGTGATAGTATCACTTGCGTTTATTCCATATGAGAAATTCTTTGACATTTTAGTAGAAGTTTTAAAACACAAGGAAAATAATAATAACTGAAGAAAATAAAATGAGCCAGTTAGGCCATTAAAAAAAAAAAAATGTTTGTTTGCCTTCCCACGACTGACTGAAAAAGCCCGACTCAAAAACTCTTTAAACCTCCAGGAAACGATTATTTTTTTATTCATTCAATTATTTATTCAATTTTCTCATCCTATCAACAACTATTTTAATATTATTAAAACCTTCAAATGAAAATTAAATTTGAAAATGCAGCATTGATTTGGAAAATTTCTGGGAATTTTTTTTTCCACCTTCCTACCGAGCATATTTTATTATCCTGAGTCGACAGAGGGCCAAAAAAATATTATTTTAAATATGGCGTTAGCTCCTGTTTTCCTTTCTTTTTGCGTATAATGTGCGATCTGAAATTAACAAGTCAATTGCTCAATTAAGCGACTTGAAAATATTAACAGACATACAGTGAGATCGAACACGTTCAGAAGAAAAAACATCACCATCCACTTTATAGATTGCGTATTAAATTTCAATAACATATATTTTTACAAAAGATACACATGCTATTCGAAATTTTGATTTAATTTTTGCCCCCCTCCCCCCTACGTATATTATTTCTCTAAGAAAAAAAATGTATTGATTTGGGATGTATGATGATCAGCTGCATATCCAGTTTAAAATGGTAAAATTTTAGCAAAAATGGATCCTTGATTCAATTTTATGAGAATTCTTACTGTACAGAATATTTTCGGCGGGGGATTCAAATGCTTAGCAGAACTTTTTTGGTTGATTTCATGGTAGCAGATCGTACTTATATTTTGAACAGAATAATATCATTTAAATTTTGAAAGAATTTTAAATTTGACTACCAGCAGAAGCCTTTGTGTCCAACCAGTACACATCTTACCTGTTAATTCTTTTACATTATTAATACTAATATTCATATATGTATTTTCAATTTTTATTTTTTTTATTTTTTTTTAAATATACATTGAAGCACAATATGTACTTTTATTTTTGACACTAACGTTTTACGGATATTTTGCATCATAACACATTTCACCTTGCAGTTCATAGAAAAAGTGTCAAGATTAGCTGTTAAAGTCAGGTAATTGTTGGCTGAAAATGATTCCATGTCGTGCTTTACCCTCACGAAGAATTAATTTTATAAGTATGTGAGAAAATGTTCAAACTTATCGAAAATTGATGTGGTGAGGATTTACGAGTAGAACACTCACAGATATACAATTACTGCATTTAGTTGTTCGCATGGAATTGATAGTATTTCATTGAATTTATTTATTTTTTTGGTGCTTTCATACATTTTTCAGTTTGTGACATCACCACAGACTATCTTGCTGTTTGACAAAATACATCCAATAAAATTATAAAGTTACAGAAAAAACATCATTGAAGGTTAACATTTGATATTTCAGTTTACCAAACTCTGCTGTAATAGTCGAGAAAGGTCATCTGCAGAATTTTTTCCCAGAAAAATAAAACAATTTTCCTCTGCAAATACTGTATAGACAATACAAAACAAAAGGCTTTGCAACCTAAAAACACGCACAACAACTGTCATTGCTATCAACCAAACCACTACCTTGTATATTAAATGTCACATTTATTTTCTAACAGCATGCAATACATCGACATATTCAGATGACATTTGAAAGAGCACTGTGATATATATATAGTGTATAAACACATATGCTTAGGACCATTAGTACTGTGCACACAAAGTACGTTCCACTGCCCCCACCCAACTGTGAGAGAGGAAATTGTAAGATTATTGAAATTTCCTATTCTAATTAAAGACAGAGGGCTCCAGTACGATGAAGCAGGTGGTTTGTTGGGTTGAAAGCGGGAGAATACAGGCTAATTACACCATTGTATTATGTTAATTGGCCGAATTCACATCCATAAATCATTGTGGGATGGTTCATTATTCGCGATGCAATATAGAAGCAATATTAGTAAAGCTGTCAGGATTCCGCGTCCAAATGTTCGGCTATATGTAATACAGTATGTTTCTAAAAATTAATTTAATAAATCTGTTGCACTCCTGAAAAAATACAATTGAATTTCTTTGTATTTGAGGTATATTGAAGGGCGTTATTAGAATCCGAAGTATCTATTTTTACATTCATTAAGATAAAAGAATAAAGAGCGAAGTTTGATAAGTATAAAACTTAAGGAAAAAGGGAAATATTCTAAAATCTGTTAATACTGCAGAAAATGTTTTCGCTTTGAACAAAATATAAGTCCGAGACATATTTGGGCTCAGCCTACATTTTATTTTTTGAGCCTAGACAATTCATGCATTCAACCTTTTTGCACTGTTGGTTTAAATGCAAATTGCCAGGAAAAGGACAGCGGCAGATATGTTGTTGTGGGTTCCATTTGCCTGTTTGCTGAGATCTTAACATAGCTTTTTAGTTAATCATCGTAGCCTAACCGCGCCTAGGATTAATTTTTCAATAAAAACACATAATTTGACTCCTGGCATGATCATAATGGAGAATTACTATCTCATCTTCCGTGTCAAAGTGCCACATGTTAAAGCGCGCAAAAACACCTGAAGCCAAATCGAATTATTGGTAATATAAAAGCCTACATTTTGTTGCTCTTAGATTATAAAAAGGAAATTATGATACACGATATTTGAGAGACTATGCATCATTAGCGTTCCAAGCCTTTACCTGGAAAAAAACTAATTTTTTCCTGCTACGTCACTGATTTTGTCAGATACCAAATTACTTCAATGAATAGTCCGCATTCTAATGTTACGCTTATAGTGTACATGTAATGACTTTGTCAAAGTGCAACTGTACAGGGGGTTATTTTTGTAATTTATTGAAAAGTCTCTTGATCCTTTGTTAGTTTGAAGTCGAACAATGAAGACGCAGTTATTTATTTTTCAAATCTTCCTGGCGTCAAAAATTAATTGAACGGTACACATGGTACACGCACTTAAATGTATACAAAATCCGTTTTATGCTTTACAATTTGTAGTTAATATTTCAAGTTTCCAAGTATGGCTTTTATGCATGTTTAATGCTAAATAATGTAAGATAATCTAACAATATACTAAGTAGTAAAAAAAGTTCCCGATAAACCTTTCTCTTTATATATTGTAGCGATACCAATACATGCACTGAACTACCAGAGCATATATACATATCTGACGCTCAAAGTCAGTTTAACTTTGTTTTAAAGAAAAGACGTACAAAAACACTTGAACTTGTAATGGAATTTCAACATGTTTTTCGTTTGTGCTGCAGGGGACACTTCCTGGCATTGAGTTATTTTAATCAAAAGAATATTATCATGCTTACCCATTGCGTTTTCTGATTTACTTTATATATATATTCTTATAAGGTTTTTTTTTAGCAAATCGATTTATTTCAACTTAGATAAATAATGCTTAAACCAAAAAGAATTAAGGAATGTTTTAAAGTTTTGTGTGAGTTATTGGTGTGTAAATCACACAGACTTGTCACGTAGGCATATTTCATGAAGCGCTAGCGCTTCATGAAAAATATGCCTACGTGCAAGTCTGTGTGATTTACACACCAATAATTCTCACTATACTTAAAAACATTCCTTATATTTACATTTTACATATTCAAAAGCACCAAAAATATACTCAGTGTTTGAATTTCTCGCTGCCCTATATCGTCATATTTTTATTAACGTCTCTGTAGTTCATTGTGACGTCACTTTAGCGCGAGTTTCTCCGCGCATATTTCTACGCGTGAGTATGTACACGAAAATGACATTCAAATCAATTTCACAGTTGTCTTAGTAGAAAAACATAGCAAATGTAAATATTGCAAAATAAGTATAAGTAAGTTCACCATCTAGAAGCGAATTATTCGTATAATTGTTATACTGTAACTACCTTAAACCTTTAAGAATTACGTATGGCACAGATATGAAAAAACAAAAGAAAACAAATTTCTCCCCCTGTGGCACTATTTATTTTACACGAAACACTGATGACCAAGTTCACTTTTCACAAAGAAGTCAAAATTGTTCTTGAGCACACAGAATAAACGTATTTTACTAAACCACCTAATGGTGTAATTGTTTACATTTCAAATCTAATGGAAAAACGTTCTTTCGTACATTGCATGATATATATATACAAAGAATAAAAAGAAGTTTAAATAAGGTTGTTGGTCGCGTAGAGTGCAAGCAAATGATAAAATTGTGCAAGGTGCAAGATAAAATAAACTGTGTTCGGTCGAAGTCTACACTTTCACAATATCCAACATTATTGCATGTTGCACCTTTTAAATTCCCCTTTACAAAGCGTTTGAGATGAAGATGATCGTAAAATTGATATTTCATACCAATCATGTCCACAAAATCTTGTATAAATCTAACTGTTATCAAAAGGAAATAATATTACAAAAACATTGCAAACAATTCTTCGATTCTGGTTCATCTGAAAAAAGACATCAACGTAGAAGAAGGAAATTGCCATGAAATCCTGGGAGATGTCCGATAATTACATGTCCAACATTGGCTCGACTTATAATGAGGATGATAGTAAATTGTATTCCATTTGTTATGGAATATGTGTCTTGTACTTTTTCTCTGTGTTTATGGCAAGTGGCATTCGTTTTTAGAGGCCTTTGGGCTTCTTTTATTAATTGAATTAGTAAAGTACATTCATATGTCAAAACTCTCTGATTAATTGAATAATTGATTACATTTCTCGGGAAAAATACAAGCATAAACCAGGGATGCATAATATGCATTTTGTATGTATTTTTTTTTTTTTAGAAAGCAAACTGCATTCCTATTCTATGTTTTAAGCTCTTTGTATGCTAAGTCTTATAGGTATATATGATAGTTCTCACTTATACGGATATACTCAGGTAACAAATACATCAATGAAATTAATCCATGTAATTGCACTAAAAAAAAACGAAATGAAATAAGTACGAAATCAGCAGTTTCTAAAGGTTATACACCGTGGTGAGTTGGTACATGTAAGCTATCTTGATCCGTTTTTTTTTAATTATCTTTTCTATATTTTCTCTTTTTTCTGTAGTTGGAGGAGAAGAGGAGATTTCTCTGTGATACGCAGTCAATGACGTCAGGAGAATTTGAAAGTTCCGAGTGGTAAGCAATTATACAAGTCCACTTTTCTTAAACAATTCACGCGTATTCAGGACTGTAGTTACTTTTCAATGAAAAATGAGATGATGCAAATTTTAAAGTATATTATTTCTTTCTCATGTTCTTTTAAAACCGACTAAAGCTATTTGTATTTGGACCAGAGTTAATGGACCGATATCTTTGTGGAACATTTTGACATCAATGACAGGAAATAATTGTTAACATCTTAAGATAAAAGTATATGGATTTTGTTCCTCATATACATGGATTATAAAAGATCTTTTATCCTGACGTTCTTTAAAAAATGCATTCCAAAGTTTTCAAAGAAAGCACTTAAAGCAAAACTGTGGGAAGAAAATGGAATATTTAGGAACAATATCAGTTGACCTAATTTAACAATTTTGCTAATTTGTTCTATTAATTTTCCTGATTGGTAGAAGATGATCAGCTTGTTAAATTTCCCCCTCATTATACTGGGTTCAGGTCTCACATTTCCAATTGCCTTAAAAGTAAAATCCCCCATAGGACCAATAATTCATTGCGATTAAAAAAGAAATGATAACACCTCCGTAATCATGGATTTTATGAATTACATAAAGTGGCATTTCTATGAAACTTTATCATATAATCAATTTTCCATTCATATGTAACTGGGAAAAAATAACAATGTAAGCAAAAAATTGACAACTCAAAATAAGCTTTACAAAATTATTCTTTGTTGCACTTCAAATAAAAAAAAACTTCGTAATGACCTTGTGTAATATTCATTTTTCAGTTTTGTTAGGAGTAATAGAAATCGGAGCTAAAACTTTTTTTAAAAAATGCCAATCTACCAAAACAACATGCAGCACAAATTTTAGTTTCAGTTTACATTTAAATCAGAATATGATGGAAGTACACAGGTATATTCAATAAATACATGTATAATAAACTGTGATTCTAACTCTAGTAATATAAAAATAAATATATGTGACATTTCATTCCTGCCTGTAGAATTTTCTAAAATCCGCTGTTTTCCGGTACATTTAGTACATTGATTTATAAGGATATTTCACGTATATCTCTACACCAAGAGAAAAAATTCCTGATTAGTTTTGGCTGGCCTTTGGCCAAAAAACTTTTATTATTAATTCACAAATCAAAAGGCCATTGGTTCATGTAAAGCATATATCAAAAATCAAAGGAAATTAATAAACTTGTTGATTGCATCCTTAAGAAACCAAACAAGTTGAATGGCTAACAAGTCGTACAAAACAAGCATAAAATGTTTCATAAGGACAATTTAGTAGGAATCTTTATATCCTTGACCGTTCAAATATTGTGAGGTCTTCATGCTATATCCGTAGAAATCAAAACAATTCAGATATTCAATTAAACAAACTGGTTAAAAGAGAGAGGAGGGCTAAAATAGGTTGTTCTTGCTGCCTGAATCCATTTACTATGTGAATAAAATAATGCATGTGTAAAATTAGAATTGATATGAAATACGATTCTCTGAAATCGTCCTTTTATCCGAAATCACCAACAAGAAATTGGAGTTACTATTAAAATGTTTATTTATTGAAATGTGACGGTATTCAAGTATAATTTTAATGATTTCAATCTTTGTTTTTAATTAAAGTTTAATTTTACCATAATTACTTACGAACCAGATTTATTTAAGATTGTTAATAAACTTATCTTCAAACTACATGTTTTATCTTACAGCGCAAATATAATACATTTTTGTCCCTCCTTCTTCTTTCAGATGCCTTTCCAGATCATATGGAAAACACATCCTTTTGTTCGAACAAGGAACAAATTGACATAGTGTGAGATCTTGAGGACTGTTTTATTGACCTCCCTATTCTGTGAATTCTACTGCCAGTACTTCACCTGATTTACTAACCATTAGATCGCCATATTAACCGCTCTTCTGTATACAGTCCCTCAGACATTTTTTGGATGATACTTACTGTGGCCTGTAAATCAATAGCAAAGGACAGTATATAGTGGCTATCTGTTGATTGTTAATTGAAATAAAGAAAAATAAAAAATATGTTTGTTGATGTGTTATCTTTTTTTCTATTTTCTCAACAGTCAGCATTAAAGAAAACAGACGTTTACTGTGGAATCATTTAAATTCGTGGGGGGTCAATGTTCGTGGGCAAGCAAAATTTTATTGGTTCGTGGGGATGTAATTTCGTGGGCAGCTCGTTTATTTGGTAAATCTAATTAATCAGTACGATCACAAAATAGTTGTTCGTAGGGATGTAAATTCGTGGGTAAGGGTGACTCACGAAATCCACGAACATTGATCCCCCACGAACAATGATGATTCCACAATCTCCAAACTTTTAAATTTTTAATACAAATTAGCATTTGTTTATGTTGTAAACAAAGTCGAACAGCTGAGGAACTAAACTTTGTTCGAAATACAGGCCAGAAATCAAAATATATCTTAAGCTTAACTCAGAAAAATGTAATTTGCGCTCACATAATTTAGAACTCAAGCGGTCCAAAATAAAATTGGTTTTTATCTTTGCATTACTAAGTGCTGTTTTATGCAAATTAAGAGTATAGATGATTGAAATTTTGACTTAAGTGAAAGTCTGTTTCATGATCTCGGGGCCTGCTAATATCTGGGAAAAAGTGCAGTATAACTTGTCTTAACAAGTAAAGCATTGCTACATGTACCTTGGCCATTAAAAAAAAACCAAACAAGTAATGCTCTAGAGTAAACTCTAACGATATGAAACCCACTTATTAAAAAATTGGCTATCATTTACCTCGGCATCCATTTAGGATACATCCAGAAATGTTTTCTCAAAAACTCCAAAGAACTTTTCGAAAATTTAAAATCGCCAAATTTTTGAACAGTAAATAATATCAAATCGGACGAATTTTTCTACACTTTAAACAAGCATTCTTCAAGATAAATTAAAAACTAGGCTTTTTTGAAATCATAGACAACTGCTTCTTAAAAAAAATGGAAATCAGAAATCTTTGTATTTTATGACTGGTAATCAACAAAATTACTTTGTTAAATATCACTCTAATTCTAGGCACAAGTACTCTGAAGTTAACATTATAAGAATGCTGGAGTTCCTCAATGATAATATCTATGTAGTTTTCGGAGGCCAGATCTTCCACAAATTGTTGGAATTCCGAAGGACACTGATTGTGCTCTTTGATTAGCCGACCTGCTTATATATTCCTTTGAAGCAGAATTTATTCAAAATCTTCTACATGAGAAGAAGAAAACACTTACTGTGACCTTCAACTCGACATTCAAATATATCGACGACGTTTTATCAACTAACAATATCTACTTCCATTCATACTTCGACTCGATATACCCCAGTGAATTTGAAATAAAAAACACCATAGAGTCTGCCAAATCTGTTCCATATTTGGATGTATTACTGACTATAAACGATAAGGGCCAACTAACAACTAAATTGTAAGACTTCGGCTTTTCCATCGTCAACTTTCCAACTGCATATGGTGTTTACGTCTCCAAACTTATTCGATCCTCAAGAGCATGTCTGAGTACCATTAATTTTGAAACCAATGCAGACTGCTAACAGATAAATTGATGCAACAGGATTTCAACAGCCTCGTTTAAAGTCAGTATTTTGGAAATTCCGTGGTCGTTATAATGACCTTGTTAGCAAAAATAACCTATCATTGGGTCGTATTTTGGCTGACGTGTTTCATACCAATTGCTAGGCCTTTGTTTTTAAACTTAGCTTGTCTACGGAAAGTTCCGTGTACCTGATCAGTATATAAAGCTCACGGCGGGTGTGACCGGTCAACAAGGGATGCTTACTCTTCCTAGGCACCTGATCCAATCTATGCAATTTTTGAGAATCAGTGATTTATGCAATGTAGATTCTTTTAGATCGATAACTGTTCACCCTTTTTCATCCATTCATAATACAGATTATACATTATTTAATTAGATATTATGATTGGTTTTATTCATTAATGATACAAAATATTCACCATTCTATTACATATCGCCTTTCGGCTCTACGAGGGTATCATATAGCATTGTTTTTCCGAGTGTAGCGAGGCATAGCATACAAGATCTCAATTCAAAGACTTTAACAATAGGCTGAACATGTGACTACACTGTATTCACCACCCTATATAAAGCACTGTCCACGTGTAGAATCATTCTTTTTCCTGAGCGGGCTTAGCGTATTTTTACTCGGGTGTATAATTTTCTACAGGGTAAACTTTTTTGTTCTAGGACGTAGTCCAGAAATAAAACTGTATTTTGGTTGTGCCAAGAACGTAGTTCTGGCTCGTTTTTTGATTCAGTAAATAACATTACTGTTATTTACCGATTACAAAGTGTTTTATAACAACATGTCTGATAGAGACGATGTTTTGTCACTTGGGGAAAATAGTGACGATAATTTTGACAATGACATTAATCCTGATAACATGGACAAAGTACAGACTAGATCTGAGGGTAATACGAGAGGGAAATCTCGTGTCATTCGGTCAGGTATTAAAAGAAAATCATCTGATACAAGCGTGAAAGCGCCTAAAAAACGGTCTGTGACCAAAAAGAATGACCCTTGTATTGATATCGATTCATTAAAATCTACTCTGGGTATTGACTCGATACTGAAGTCTATTTCTTGTTTGTCTGAGTCGGTAAAGAAATTGACAAATGTAGGTCAATGTACGGTGCCCACTTTAGGTCATAATGCCGATGTTATGGAAAGGGGTTTTAGCCATAATGCACCTAGTGCAACCATTACCAGACCTTCAGACTTAATTAGTTTGAATCAAGAAGACTTGAATGATTATTCATTAAATGATTTTGACTTGAGTTATCTCGATAACTCCCCAAACAGCCCTTCATTAGTAGGTGTTGATCCCCAGATTGCATTTAAAGATGCTTTCGACACTCCGAATATTACTGGGGCTACAGAGAAAATTGACACTGTGGATGAGTGGGATATCCCACAATTAAACCCAGAAGAGGCCACTGGTCCAAAAATAGGGACTGGTTTGGCTAAAGCTGTTAATGCAGCTCTCTCAGTAAAATCAAGTAAAGAAAGCATGAATGACATTGCAAAAAGATACAGCAGACCAGAAAATTGTACATATCTCAAACCCCCCAGAGTAAATAAAGAAATCTGGGATGCTATGAATAAAAATGCTCATTCCACTGATCTTGCTTTACAAGAAATACAAAAGTATATGGCTCAGGGTTTGATTCCCATTGTTTCATTGGCAGATCAGCTGGCAAATAACAAAGAATTAGATATTCAAAAAACAAAGTCTATGTTGTCTGATTCCATTAGCCTGTTGGGATATGGATTTTATAATTTGTCAATGAAACGTAGGAATGAATTGAAGGGTTGTTTAAACCCCAGATACAGAAAAATTTGTAGTTCAGAAATTCCTGTTACTGAGCAATTGTTTGGAGATAATTGTGTCACCAAACTTAAAGATATGGGTGATATGAATAAACATTCATTGAGTTCTCTTAGGGGTCAAGGTTCTTTTAATACATTCAAAAACAGGTCTAATACTTTAAACTTACGGGGTGCTGTTGGTCAAGGTTACCAACAGCAGAACCAGTATCAAGGATACCAAGGTTACCAAGGGTACCAGCAATTCAAACCTCGTGGAGGCAGACAATATTACAGAAGAGGGGGTTACCCCAGCCAGTACAGAGGCCAGAAAAAAGGCTACCAGAATCAGAACCAGAACCAGTAAAAAAGGTGAGAAAACTAAATTTTGAACATTGGAAACAATTTACTAGTGATAAGTGGATTTTGGAAACGGTTAAAGGTTACAAAATTGAGTTTTTTGAGAAACCTATACAAGGTTATATTCCAAAGCAGATTTCATTTTCTGAGAGTGAATCTATTCTCATTCAAAATGAAGTGAATATATTGTTAGCAAAAGGAGCAATTAAAAAGGTTTTAAATCCCTCAGATGAATTTATTTCTAATATATTTTTGGTTCCTAAAAAAGATGGAACCTCAAGACCAATAATAAATTTAAAAAATCTGAATGAATTTGTAGAATATCATCATTTTAAGCAAGAAAACCTGCAATTTGCTTTAGAATTGATTGAAAAAGATGATTTTTTAACTTCAATCGATTTAAAAGATGCTTATTTTAGTATCAGTATTCATCAGGAACATCATAAATTTTTGACATTTAGATGGAAAGAGAATTTATATAGTTTTGTTGTCCTTCCTTTTGGACTTGCTTCAGCACCTAGAATATTCACAAAGATAATGAAACCTGTCTTTGCTGCTTTTAGGGCAAATAATATAAAGTGTTGTTACTATATCGATGATTCTCTTGTGATAAACAAAAACTATGAAGACTGTAAACACGAAACTCATTTAATTGTGAATGAGTTGGATAAACTTGGGTTTACGATAAATCTTAAAAAGTCTGTTTTAATACCAACCCAGAGAATCAGGTTTTTTGGATTATTAATTGATTCAGTCCAATATAAAGTTTTCTTAACTGATGAGAAAATTACAAAGATTGTATCATTGTGCAAAGAAATTCTTAGTGAAAAATATGTTACAATTAGAATTTTTTCATCATTGATCGGTCTTGTGGTCCATGCATTTAATGCAATTTCTGAGGGACCCATGCATTACAGAAATATGGAAAGGGATAAGATTCAAAATTTAAGACAGTCAAATGATTATGATTCTAAGATGTTGATATCATATGACAGTGAAGTAGAAATAAAATGGTGGTTAAATAATGTAGAGAAGTTAAATGGTAAACCAATTCGTTTACCCCCTATCAATTTTTGGATTGAAACAGATGCCTCACTTCAAGGCTGGGGGGCTAGATTTTCAAGTGAATCTGTAGGTGGTCGGTGGACTTTGGCAGAATCTAAAATGCACATTAATGAATTGGAACTTTTGGCAATCCAGTTCTCGATTAAAGCTTTTTTCAGTGGTTATAAAAATTGTCACATAGGAATAAAATCAGACAATACAACTGCAGTTTCTTATGTTAATGCAATGGGTGGAATGGCTTCTCCATCTTTAAATTCAACTGCAAT